TTCCCTAAACAAAGGACCATAGTTACCCCCTTTTACAAGGGAAACCATTAGTTCACGAATATATTCGATGCTGACCCATAAAGTTCAGTTACACTCTAAGTATTTACACTACCACTCTATCATGAACTCAAGATAACAATACATGCCTCCTAACCATCCATATTACTAGGAAGACTATCTTCCACATATGGACCCACTATTAAGAAAATTTTCGATACAAGGGAATTTAGAGAAACTTCTCTATGAAATTAACCCAAATTTTGAAAAAATGAGGCATAAATGTTAAACTCAAGTCATTAATGACTTATTTATAGACCTCTAAATTTGTGGGTCAAATCATAATTAATTACAAGTCCACTAATTATCTTATTAACAAGCTAAAATATTACTAAAATGAACTCTAATTAATCGAGTAAAGCCCACGAGTAGAGACAATGACTTCATATGAGATTTCAAGCTTATTAAAGTTCAGATTGTCTTGAGTCCGCAAGGGTCAAAATTAAAGATGTTTTTCTTATCCTTCTAGAGCTGCCAACTTTGTACAAATTCGACTTTTGTAACTCCAATTATGCTTTGTCAAAATGAATGAAAATATGAGAATTAACTATAGTTATTCTCAATTGAGTCCACTAGTATAAAGCACCAAAATTGCCAATATTAGATACACATATAGGTCAACTATGCCCAATATAATCTACAAAATATGCTCTATCAATTGTTATGAATGTATTTATGCATGTTTGTTAACCTTTATTTTCACATTGAGAGCATGTAGTTAGATGTATTTCACTTTCTTAAATATGTGTCATTTGTATTTAGACCAAATGTCATTTGTAGGTGATGATTTAAGTAATTGTTCTGGAGAAGAGACTTAGGCCTCAATTAACCACTTTTAAATTTGGGTTGCCTTCTTTTAATAGGATGTAACATTGAAAATATTATTTTTGTTTTGAATACATGTTTAGACCTTGCTTTATAGTTTGGTTTTAAGTTTTGGTATCACATTTGAAGTAACAAGTATTTACTTACTTATGTTTTTGTAGGACATATATGTTTTATTTTACTTAAGTTTAAACTTGAATTTAGTTTTGAGTATGTCATGGCTTCTATCTATTTTAAGATTACTTATAAATAATGTTCTTTTGTTTATTTTTTTTTGCCATTTGTATCCATAATAAACAAATGAAGGTTAAATGTGTCACAACATACACTATCAGCAACGAGCACAACATGAACAATGTGAACATCATGATAGAAATGCACAACACAAAACTGAATACTATTAAAATGGTTTAATACATCAAATAATGCAACAATTTGACATTACTAGAAAGATGCTTCAGAAAGACACCATTATAAAAGTACATTAGAAGGACAACACTCAAAATGACACCAAAAGAAGGGTGTATTAGAAAGATACATCAAAATGGCACCATTAGGGATACACAAAAATGTGCTCATCCTAAATGTGTACATTAGAAAGGTGAGCATAAAAAATTACATATAGAATGATGCACCTTAGAATGGTGCATTATGAAAGTACACATTAAAAGGATCATAAAAAAAGTGCACATCAATGATGTATTGAATTAGTATCATAAAAAAAATTGTGCACATCATAAAGGCACACATCAAAATGCTGGATTTGAAGAAAATTTAAAATGAAGTTGAACTTTCAAAGTATACGAATTTCCTAAGCAACAAGTTAATCTCGAGTAAAAACTAAAAAATGTCAAACTTCAAATAAAGATGACAAAGTCACAATTTAACCCCTCTTTTAGTCAATCTATTTAAAAAAAAAAATAATCATGCAAGGTTGCTACACTCTTTATATTTTTAACAATGTCAAACTTTCTAAAACAAATCCTGAGCATTTTAAAGACATGCTAATAATAAATCTTCTTGAGATTGATAAAAAAATGTATTTTTTTGAAAGGTATAAGGTTTTAGCATCACAATATAATAAGCTATAAGTCTATAATCTCTTCAAAATAATTTCCTGATTACCATTTTTTTTAATACTTATCAAATTAGTTTGAGTAAATTAAACTCATATATATATATATATATTTTATTATTTTATTTTTATATTTTTGAGATTGTACATAATATCTCTATATATTTTGAATTTATAGTGAAACTCCTTAAAAGTGAGAAGATATTTCATTGTCTTTCAACTCACAAATAATATTAAATTTATGAATATATTGGTGTTATGTGACTTGGACATAACTTTCATTAAATCTTTTTTTCCCAAAAATGTCTTTCACCTTCTCCATTAAAAAAACATTTTTTAATTAGATATTTAATTAAATGAGATTTTTAATTAAATATTTAAACAGAAGAGTACGAGTATAATTTATTAAATTATTTTTAATTATATATTTAATTAAATGAGATTTGTAATTTCCTTTTTATTTTAGTCAATACTTAAATCTCTTCAATCAAAATTAAATATAATAGGCTAGTCACAAATATTATTAAATTAACATTTCTTCAACTAAAATATTTTTAAAAATTGCAAACTCTTATATATTGTTTCAATTTTAAAAATTGACTCAAAACAACTAATTCAACTACTTCAACCAGTGAGCAATGACTTCATGTTTTACCCTACTCTATCCGGGTCTTAAAAACAGATTTACATCATTAGTAAAATGTTCTCTTATAGATATTACAATACTTTACATATATTCATGCAATGTAGGAAATAATTTATGTTCTATACTGGTCTACATGTTGTATCTCTTGTCATATTTTGAATGAAATGCAGTAAAATTCTGTAAAAAAAAAAAAAACCTTAAGACTTAAGAGTGATGAAGGCTGTTGACCAGCAAACATATTTTTATTTAGCATCCAAAACTTGTCAACTTGGCGCGCAGTGTGTGACACTAGAAAGGGTTTTAGAGTGGCTCTTGGTTTCCCTCTTTGGCCTCATCCAAAATCCCTAAAACCCCAACACTCACACTCACTCACTCACTCACACTCATTTCCAAATGGTTGCATTTGCAGCCCTATGAAACCCTCTCCGCTCCGAACCCCCAACCTTCTCCGCACCCCCTTCCCTTCCTCCATGGCGCTCTCCTCCGCGCTCCGCGTCCTCCGCCTCTCCTCCGCCTCCTCCTCCTTCCTCCAGCCCTCGCGCCTCCGCCGCGGCCCGGCGGAGCTCCGCTTCCTCTCCCTGCGCGCGTCGCGCCGTCCGGCCTCCGCGGTCCAGGCCGCCAAGCGCCGGGACGGAGAAGGGAACGGAAGCGTGGCCACCGCTGCGGATAACGGTAACGGTAACGGTAACGGAAGTGAGGGGAGGGTGGTGACGAAGGAGCTTCACAAAGAGGCCACGGAGGCTTACATGGCGTATGCGATGTCGGTGCTGCTCGGTCGCGCGTTGCCCGATGTTCGTGACGGCTTGAAGCCTGTGCACAGAAGGATTCTGTCAGTGTTCTGTTCTGTTACGATTTTTTTTGTTTTTTTTTAAGTAATAAGGGTATAGAGACACTTTTGGGAGGAAAAAATGTGAAGGAAAAATGAAATAAGGTTATCTATATGCTAAAACTTGCTTTTGTAAAAGCTTATTTGTAATTTTTTTGGAGGAGTATAAGAGAGCTTCTATAAATTAGCTTATGCATAAGTTAATTTTAGTTTATAGAGAAACATTTTATTTTATTTTTGTTCCCGAGAAGTTTATCCAAACATGCATGTGTTTATTTTATTGAAGCTTTGTGGCTTATTAATTGAGGATTACTGGAAATTTTGATAATATTTCTTCTGAGATTTTGGTTGTTTAAGTTTTCTCTTAATTCCGAAAATGGGGAAATTTCAATTTTTTTTTGAACTGCTTCCATTTTATGAGTCACTGGGACTTTCGAACAATTATCATTTTGAGTTTTTCCTTCTTCGGTTTTTCCTTAAATTTAAAAGATGGGGGCAAATTTCAAATTTTAAAAGTTTTATTATTTATTATATTATTCAGTTCTTTAATGTCTAGTTTTTTCTTTCACTCTTGCCAAAATTGTGCGAATTTCATGTTAACTCTTTTGTTTTAACAATAATGGATTAAAAAGCCAGGAGTTATTTTAGTTTGGCGTGGGGAAGACCCCTTCTTAAACTATCTTTCTATTTTATTCATTTTGCTTTTGGATTGATTGTGTTGGAGCTTGCTATCAAACTGGTGCCTTGCATTCATGTAATTTTTTAAATTATGCTCAGTTAAATGTGAATAAGCAAATTGAAATGCTAATTACGGGTCATTTGATTACAAAATCATTTAGTTGAGGGAAGTTTAGGAAGTTACAATAAAAAGTAATTATGGTGGATTCCAAATAGACACAATTGAGAGTGTGAATCACCTCAGTATTTTAACAATTTGAGTTGTTGAAATTTGACAATTCATATTGAGATGTGATTGTAAAGTAAGCTACAACTTTGTATGCAGATTTGCAATGCACGAGCTTGGTCTCTCTTCCAAAAAACCATTCAAGAAGTGTGCGAGAGTTGTTGGAGAGGTTAATATCTAGCCATGGATGTTAAATTCTTAATTCTTATTGTTGTTGAAGCTTCCCATATGTTCATCTAGAAGCATGTTTGGACTACTTATTAAGTTATTATCCATTGTCACTTTTTTTGTTTGATGTGTTACTGTACGATGTTGTTATTGTAGGTATTAGGAAAATTCCACCCTCATGGAGATACAGCTGTATATGATTCCTTAGTGCGAATGGCCCAGGTAAAACATGTGCCTTTTCCTTTCCATGCTATTTGAGCTTCATCTAAGTTTACTGTGTGTTTGGCGTAGTTGTGAAGAAAAAAGATGATTTCAATAATTAATTATATTATAATTGATTATTAATATAATCAAATTAAATGAATGAAGTTTTTTGTTTGTTAAAAAATAAAAGGCAATTTTAAGATAATCTATCAAGGTTATCAAATTGAGAACCACCAGCTAATATTTGAACTGTGAATCATAATTTGTATTGAGTTGTAAGATTCAAAGACAATGAAAATTACTTCTAATATATCATATAAGTGATATATAGTGTTCAATGCAATAAATTAAACTTGTAATGTATAAACAACTTAACCTTAAGTCTTATAAAACAAAATAATTAGGCATATCTGAGATTGTGAAACCTTTGTATTAAGAGAATGGAAATGAAGCATGAAATGGCCAAATAGAGTGCATGCATTGAATGAGTGTGTGAAAAATAAAGTAGGTGAATAATAATCAATGTTTTGCTTTGTTTTTGTAAAGTAAAGTGTGTGAAAAATAAACCTTTGTTTTTGTAAAAGTTTTGTATTTACAAAATCAATGTTGAAGATAAAATGGAAAAACAAAAGTTAGATAGAATATAATCTGATAGCTTTTATTCTTAAGCTACATAATTTTGCTTATGAAAAAAAGGCTTTCTTCTGTAGAAGAAGTTAGACAGACAGTAATTGTTTGCTTGTTAAGACCATTTGATAATTTTGTTTTTGGTATGCATTACTTTGATAAGTTTGATAATTTTACCAGACATCAGTTTTTTTTGAATAAAAATAATTTATTCTCAAAATCTGTTTCTTCCCATAAAATAATCCCAATCAAACATGGTAAAAAGAAAAAGAATATTTTGTCAACATATGCTGATGCGGGCATGCAATAACTGCGTCTCTTCAGAGAATTACTATCATATTTGGTTCAGATGTGTTTTAGTTCTGGTGAGTATGATTAAATTTGATTTTAGTCCTCCACTTTTTCTTGTTGGTTTTGGTCCACAACTCCATATAAAATGTTTGAAAATGTTCTTTCTTATCACTCAATGGTGATGCAATGACATTCCATGTTAGTGATCATTTTGTAGTGACATGCATGTTTAGACGCATGCAACATATAAGTGGTAATATGGGCCATTTTGAAAGATTTTTAAATTTCTGAGGGCCAAAAATCAAACAAATTTTTTGGTGGATTATACCAAATTTAGACATCTCTACTGGTACTGAATTTATTGAATAAATAATGCATGCACTGAAACTTTAAGGCCTTTTTTTTATATTACCATCTAATCATATATCGCCATTTATTGTTTTGTGGACTTTTATAGTATCTACTTTAAAAGTCATAACAAAGACATGTAATATTTTTATATTGATTGTGCATACCTATTAAATTCAAATTTATTTTACCCATCATATTCTAGTTGATTATCATTATCTAAGACACTGATCTTCCCTTAATAACTATAATACATTGTACTTATTAGCATGTTTTTCCCTTTAATTATTATTATGCTAAGTGTATAACCTATCTATCAATTTATCTATCTATACTTGAAGAGTTTGTTTTTGGTATTATTATATTTTTTATTTTTTACATAATACAATTGTAAGTTAAATGGGTGGGTTTGGCTATATTAAAGGAGAGTAAAGTTTTTGGCAGTGTGTGGTTAGATTTAGGTTTATTGACAGGGATGCTCTAATTTTTAATGCAAAGTAGAACTTTTTTGTTGCTTGTGATTGTGGTGTAAAATATACTCCGTCCAATCTTGAATATATAGACAAAACAAAAAAAAACTAATTCATGCTAACTAAGGAAGTTAAAATCGTTTAATTTCACTAATTCTATTTGAAAAATAACCTATTTTCCTAAACTATCCTTCATTGGAACTTGATATCAAGAATAAAAAGATTCATTAGATATACAATCTCAATTAAATGAAGGGATATTTTGAGGATAATATCATTAAATAAAGGGAAATTAGTTGGGATTTGTTTATATTTGGGATCAAAAAACATTTTTTTTGTTTTGCTTATATTTGAGACAATATGGAATATTTCTTTTCAGAAGTGTATCTCACTTTTTATTTATTTATTTATTTTTCAAAATGAACCACATTACTTTTAAGTATTACATGTCGCTATATGATCATTGCCCTCCTTTCTATGAAACTCTTAAATTTGATCAATTTCCAAATTCTGACATTTATAGGGCAGAATCATATCAGTGAATCTTCTTTGGATACTCCAACTATTAAGGAATATTTAAGAAAGACTTTCAGATTTCTTAGCTATCAACTATAAAAGTTTGACACAACTGGATAAAGTCACAAGTGATGGTTTTACTTGCATTAAATCTCTGGTACTAATTTTATTGTGTATCGTGGGCTAAAGTTTTGCTTGGTGAATGAACGCAGTTGCTGATTGTTCTATGTATTCAATTCAATTTTATTCCATTGAAGTGTAGGATGGATTAAACCCTTTGATCAAATTTTTCCTTGTATGATTATGACTGTGGCTTTTTTGAGATCATAGTTAATTTATTTGGCAGTTGAAGATTTTGTTGTAATTTTATGGATTTTAATGTCTGTTGATTCTGATGTATTATTGATGACAATATTTTGATCTATGCACCAAAACATGTCTATGAAGTGTTTGTTTTTATATATGTAAATGTTTAATACTAATGAATACAGTGTCCTAGTTATTTTATTTTTTCTCGACCATGTTGAATAAGGGGGTAATGGTTCTGGAGGCTTGTTCATGGTATGTTAGCATTGCATAGTTTTCTTGATCAGCCTACCTACTTAAGTATGTATTCTATTAAATGGCAGTGATAATGGTCCTTTAACTGATAGTGCTGTTTCCCGTTAGTCCCTTTCGATGGGATATATATTATTTTACCTAGTATATTTGGAATCTAATGGCCAATTATTGTTTTGAAGTGATACTTTTTGTGGTTTGTGTCTTAAAATCTTACACTTCCTTTCTTTTTTCTGCCATCATAATTTTTGTGCTTTCAAATTTCTTTCAGGATTTTTCCTTACGCAGCCCTTTGATCCAAGGTCATGGAAATTTTGGGTCAATTGATGCTGACCCTCCTGCTGCCATGCGTTACACAGAGTGCAGACTGGATGTATGTGTCTAACAACTGATTTGATCTTTGAATCTAAACTCTACTTGTCTAATTATATCTTTTTTGCTTTTATAACAGAAATTGTTGTGTAACAATGTATTCTCTAATCAATAATTATTTATGCCGGTTTAATACTATTAAATTAATAATTTACACAGTAATTTTTAGTCATGCCAGAACACAGTTAATTTTTTACCCATATTTGTTAATTTTGATTAATTTCAAAATTCTAAACTTATCTAACATTTATGGTGTCAGACTTGAAAGATTATAGTTATTAATTCAGTTTTCTTTTCAAAAGTCTGAGAAGGGAAAGAAAATTGGAATATTATGTCAAATTTTGATATACATGATTGATGTATATGAAAAAAATCAATACTCAGTTGTTGATATTATGGGATTTCAAAATAGCGGTATTTGCTTACTTTGCTTGAAGATTTCAAATCAGAAGGGTTTGGTCTCAGAAACTCATTCAAGGATATATTTTTCTGCAAAAGAAGTTAAAATTGGATCTTATAGGTCTAAACTAACAAGGAGCTTCCAGGAAGTAGGAAGTTTTTTGTTGTGTAAAAATGAATATTGGGTTTTGTCCGACATTGTCAAAAGACTTGAAAAAAACAATGTTTATCTGTTCTTAAGCTTTATCTGATTGTTGCTTGGTAGTTTTGTATAGCATTAGCTTGGACATGGTATGGCTATCAGGTGTCTCATGTTAAGCTCTGTCTTTGTTAAATTTTAATAAATGATAATGATTGGAATTCTTGTTTGAAGGGTCTTATTCCTTTCCCTTTTTCAATTTTTCTATTTGATGAGGGTATTATGAAAGAAAAGGACTTAAGAACTTTGTGTTCAATAAAACCCAATTACAATTCATCATCATTGCAACATTTCTGTGGTGGATGTTTGAAGTGCTCTTTCAATACGGATCCAGTGATGATCAACAAGATTTGGTGTGAATGCATCAGCATGAAGTTTAATTTGGTCTAAAGTAGTTGTCCAAAGTGTTGGATTTAGTTGTGTTCTTTGTTTTTTATAGAATTGATTTGACATATTGGCAGACATTTTGAAGGATGGTATTTTGTTCTTGGTCTGAATTTGCAGGATCTGACCGAAGCAGTGTTATTGGCAGATCTAGAGCAAGATACGGTTGGTCACTGCCGTTCTTTGCCCTGTGATTTATGTTTTTACTCAACTAATTTAACGTCATAACTGAGTTGCATTTTATCTCAATATGTTCTGATTGCAGGTTGATTTTGTTCCAAATTTTGATAATTCACAAAAGGAACCATCACTTCTACCAGCTCGCCTTCCAACCTTATTGTTGAATGGTTCTTCTGGCATTGCGGTGATATTGGATTTCCTTTCACATACTTGAAACAAGATCTGCTGTTTATTGACAAATTATGCATCTACTCATATGAAGCTGCCTTTTTTTTATTTTTATTTTTTTAATCTTAATCAGGTTGGCATGGCAACTAATATCCCTCCGCATAATCTTGGGGAAGTCGTAGATGTGCTGTGTGTGTTGATAAATAATCCAGAAGCGACTGTGAGTGCCAAATCTTGAGTTTTTCTTTCTCTCTCTCTCTCTCTGATAAAAATGTAATCTCTTAAGAAAGGAGATGCAACCAGATGCACCCCAGCACAGCGAGCACAGCTCAGTCCCAATGGTTTTCATTGTTTTTCTTCTTCCAAACTCTTTAAATCTCATTGTCACAAACGTCTTAGCTGATTGGTAATTGAAAGAACAGATGTGCTACTGATTCTAAACTGTTCATACACATAACACATATTACGTGAGAAAGTTGCATTAGGTCTCTGAATCTGCAACAAACCATTACTATTAATCCTATTTGGTGCTGCTGTCCAGACAAAAGCCTTCATCCCAAAACCAGCTTTTGTTTTTCAAATAAATTAATAATAAATTTGATTTAATGAGGAGAATGAGGTAAGAAATCATTTGCTATCCGTATCCCTCATTCCTACAATTTAGGACATAAATTGCAGTTAGGTTTAAATTAAATTTGAGGACTGAAAGGAATTTTCTTGGGTGATTCCATGTATTCTATAGAGTTCAAGTAAATAAAACAACGTACAAAATCCCATGGAAGGGTTAAGAGTCCTACTTCTATTATTTGGAGTAGATAAAAAATTGAATTTTTTTCAGAGTCTTTAGAGACTGTTAAACAAGAGCATTTTTATTATTAAGTTTTCTATAAAAGTGAAAGTTGAAATATTAAAGCACATTGAAGATTAGAAAATTGTTAAACTGATGCATTATGTAAGTCTTTAGTCTTTTCATCATATAGGAAATTATTAGAATCTGGATTTTGAATGGATGTTGGAAATTCTGTGACTTTTGTTTTGTGAATATATATATTTTTTGTACATGTGGAATAAGTGTTTGAATCTATGGTCCAGTTTGATTAAAGTTCATGCCATAAACTACATGAAATATAGAGTAATGTTGATATCTTTAGGAGGCTTATTATTTTGTGCAATTATATTGTTGGGTTTTTGAAATCAAAGCCAAAGTTGGAGAGGGTCAAGTGTTGGTGGGTCAATCTAGACTTTACAAGTTACACAAAACTGATAAAGTTTTTATAAGTGAGTTTAATGGAGTTCGGATATGTTTGATTACTTTATTATTTTTAACAATATTTGGTTCTAAGAATGGGAGGAGGGGAAAGTATAGTTTTACACTCTTGTATCCTTATAATTATTAATGGAAGGGGGCGGGGGTAGTCAAAACCTCTACGATAATTTTGCTACTACACTCCAAAAAAAAAAATGAACCATTTCCCCTCCTTTCAAACCCCCCATTGTTGGAGGGGAGGCAAAAATTCCACATTCCCCCCCCCCCCCCCCCCCC